GCTGCGTCCAACAACACCATTTAGACGCCCCGTTTGCACCACAAATCTATTGATCTGAGCTCACAAACCCGTGCTGTGACCCCAGAGGTCATGATTTATGTATTAAAGCGGCTTTTTAAGGGAATCCATTTTCCTGTTGAACCTGCACCATGCTGGTAATCAGAGAAGGGCTGCGTGTTTGATTTTGACCCCCCCTCCCCGTCCTCCATAGTTTTCACCCCTCCTCAACCGTGACTTGTCTCACAACACCTCAGCTCCCTAATCAATACCACAGAGCTCCCGGTTCAGCTGGAGATTCCTTCGCCCTTGTCTCCTCTCCTCTTGTCTCCTCTCCTCCACTCCCTCGATCCCTCTCCGTTCTAAACCTCGCAGCAGGATGCACCTCCATCAGGGCACTCGCAACAACACAGTGCCGGGCTTCTAAAGGGTCCGGATAAAAGTGCGACGACAACAGAGGGGAGACGGCAGTGGATGGAAGGGAGGAGGAGCGAGGAAGAGGGGAGAATGAAAAGGAATGTTTGGACTTGTGGACAGACTGCGATCTCAGAGGGGCCCACTCTGGTCTGCTGATGTCGATAAAGGAGCGGCAGTAGAGACAGAGGATGAGAGGGGAGCGTGTGTGTGTTTAAGAAAAGAATTATCTCAAAATAAGGTGTTTTAACAGACGCCAATAGAAGGGAACGATTCATCTACAAAGGCCAAAGGTTTCACTGAACCGCTCCAATACTTTTCACAGACATCTTCCAGCCGAAAGAAAACAACTGGATTGGTAAAAAGGGGAAGTGGCCCGTGATATCCAAGCAAAGAAAAAATAAAGAAGTGGCGTTTCTGAAAAGTCGAACGCATTATGGGATAAGAAATTCGATTTGAAGTTAACATTTTGTTCTCAAAGCCGAGTCTCAGCACGACAGAGATGTCCCGGTGCCGCTAATTAGAGCCGGCAGAAAGGCCCGTGCGCGTGGACATCATCCATTGTTCCTCATCACTCTAATGAGCTTCACTGTCTTTGTCTTCATTCATCAGCTCAAAGGTTGCACAGTTGCTGCACGGAGTCACCATCTTTTTATGTATTATCTATTACTACATCAAGTGAACGAAACTCCCCTTGCATCTTCTCAGAACTCAGCGCCATCCGGGCCCTATGCCCTGTGCTACGTTCAGATCACATTTGGGTTTTATATGCCGTGAATCATAACATTTAAAAAAAGCACTACTGATACACACTAACATCTACCTGTGTGACGGACGGGAACAGTGAGCGTACTTCTTTCCTCTGAAAACTGTTGAAAGAAGGCAAACTGGGGCAAAAAGAGAGGCAGAGGTGTGCGAGGAGAACAGAGATAGTCCTGTTATCATGTAACAGAGGCCCGATTGGACCTGACCTTGGACACACAAGTGTGTGTGCACACACACGCACACACACACACAGGAGCAGGGTCACGGGGCATAAAGAGCCACTGTGTCAGGTCACAGAGCACAGAGGGAAGGATAAAGGACTTGAGGGATGTGATATGACTAATATGAGGGGTTTTGCAGGCCTTCGGGGGAACTGGCGTTGCGGCCAGGGGTGAATGACACTGCTGATCTGTATCACACATCAGAGCAGATCACAGCAGGAGAGAGACACACACATGGAGTACGGACACAGCCGATGAAATCCAAGTTCTGAATCCATGAAACAAGGATATTTCAAAACATGAAAAAAGGAAAGGGATTAAATACGAATTTAATCCCTTAAAGACTCGTATTGTTGTTGTTGTCAAGATGTTATTATGTTGTTATGTGCATATTCCCGGTTGCCTTTGCGGATCCAATCACTTCACCAATTCTATAAAAAATATACCTTTACTGCAATAGGAGTGCAAAAGTGCACCCCCCTCTCCCCCACGCCGCTGACAAAACTGTTATTTCTCTCCCTCAAAGAGCGGGTTCAAAGATCAGCACCTAGCAGGATGGGATGGGGTGCGCTGTGGCTTGCATGTCTATCAGGTTACACACTTCAAAGACACACTGCCATACTCAGCCAGCGATGAGAGCGAAGGGGCCAAGGATAGGGCCACATTGTCATTCTGCCATTAGAACTACTGCCAGGGGATGGGCGGCTCATTTCTTCTATGATAATTGGACTTTTTTTTTTTTTTTTCCTCCATCAACAATGGTTCTGAAGAATATGATCTCTTCCTTTGAATCTTTTGAACGTCTCCAAACAGTCTCCGACATGCCAAAGAGTGGGGACTGTGCTCTTTGGTGGAGCGTTTCTGGTTAGTCAGCTTCTGGGAACGAGCCATAGATGGCACTGTTGGCTCACGCTACGGCTCTGTTGCCAGCGCCGCAAACGAAGGAGGTGGGAAGAATCAACACTTGAAACTCATCAACTCTGGATCTGAGAAAAAAGAAAAAAAATAACTTTCATCTATGCGCAAGTGCCATTTGCCAAATATAATCTTGTAACTTCTAATTAATTCAAACCGCTAGAAAGAATCTTTCAAAATATAACACTTTCTAAACAGATTCATTTTTTTCATGCTAAAACTGTTCTTTCCAGTAAGGCAGATTTAACAGCTCATTATCAAAAGACATGTTTCTTACCACACCCCCCCCCCCCCCGCCCTGTAATTTTCTTCACTTGTCAACAACACCACAAACTTTATGGAGGTTAAGAAATACCCAGATATTCAGATTACTCAGACCACAACCCATTACTTTTAAAGAGGATGTTTGAGGTGCTTTGACACCCAATGTGGTGCAAATGTGAGTAAACCTGCTAATTAAGTCAGAATGCTTAAAAAACTTCATAGAGCAGTGACGTGAAATTTGATGAGAAATGTTATTCTTTATGGTTGACATCACTCAGCAAGAGGAGAGAGAGAGAAAGGGGGGGAGCGAGAGAGGAAGCCTGTTGTTTACAGTGCAGGTCTGTTGATGACGGTGCGAGGGGCAAACGGGGAGACGACTGAGGGTCTGCTAGCCTGCGAGGGCCCCACGGGAGTCCCACTGCCCTGATCTATGGCCCGCCTGACTGCTGAGGTCAGACCAGAGAAGTCCTGGAAACCGCAAATTAGCAGCCCTTTGCAATTAGAAACCTGACCACAGGCAGATATGGCGTATTGCATCACCTACCAGATAGATTACGGCTACTATTTGACTATGAATACTTATGGGAGCCTAAGAAACAGAAATTGTGCCACATGCGGTCACATGAGAGAGCTTTCTCTTGTAGCTGCATGTGCACAGCGCGCGGTTTATGCGACGGAAAAACGCAAAATGCCCTGAGGCAGGCCGACTGGCCCCAGCCACCCAGGTGGCGTGTGGACTTGCAGGGGCCCCACAGCAGCCCTAAGCTCTGGATGAACATGTCTCTACACAGACCTAACCATGCACCCCCCCACCCCACACACACACACACACACACACACACACACACACACACACACACACACTCCTCTCGCTCATTTAAACCACAACAACCTCGTATCCAACGTCCCATAAGAAGCTCTTACATTTTGATGAAATGGGAAGTTGTGCGGGGGGGAGGGGGGGGGTGGAGGGGAAATGGTGTTACACAGGTTCAATCCCACACCACGTTTGGGCTGACAGCAGCAAGAGCTGTTGAAGTGTGCGTCCAGGTAGCTCTCTCATGGCTGCAGGCGGTCAGGTACGCAGGCAGTATTACACACACACACACACACACACACACAGCAGTTGTCTCAAACCTGTCAGTCAACTACGTCCGTCCCATCAGACCACCGGGGTAACACATAATATGGCTTCAAATGATTTTTTTTTTTAACATCCGGGTAAAAGTGGTATTTGATGAAATATTAATTTAGCGATTCATTTTTGCATCTGATCCTCTGTAAAGTAAGATCAAAAATAACTGATGGATTTTCTCGTCCTGTGAAGCCAGTTGTTGAAGGGCACCTCTCTCTAACTTCACGCATACAACTTTTATTCATTGATACAACATGCCCACTATTTCCCAAAGTAAGATGAAGAGAAAAGATACTCCACACAAGACATACTAACTAAGACGGACGGAAAGCACTAACGGAGCTTTTTAATCTGCGGAGCAGCTTGGCTGCACTTTACAAACGGTGCTAAGAACTGTTTGTGTACAGCCCGCCAGATGAAACCAGACAAGCCGGCTCTCTCTGAGGCTGTGCTGATGGCCTACAAAGTGACTCGGAATCCACAGAGAATGACTTGTAAAACATCTCAACAGTGTGACATATGTCACGAACCTTAGCACAGATGAAAAGTTTACTAGTGCTCTGAGAGCTTGTTCACTAAAAAGCAGTCAAGCATACAGCATGTCAGTGGTGGCGAGGAGTCAAAACGATGACTGCAGTATATGCGCCGTGCAGCATTTCCAGGAGGGGTTCTTATTATGATTTACTATAACACTATTCCGAATGAGACTGCTTTATATTTCTTTACAATGTGAAGACTCTTATATCCCAGGTGAAAATATATATATATTTTTCCAAATATATTTTAATGTTTTAGTATTACAAAAAAACCATCAGCAATCCCTTTACAGTTTAAAATAAACGATATTCACATTTGTAAATATACATAGAGGATAAAGAAAATGATTATACTGTATCTGCTCAATAAAAAAATTGAGCTAAAGAAATACAAGAAAATAAAAGGCTAGTGAAGAAACTGGAATATGGCATTATCAGCACCTACGACCATATGAGTGGAAAAGAAAAAGTTTGAAGTACAACGTACAAATTCAAAGAGATATTTTATCTTTAAAAGATGGATAGCTAGATATTCTGCTTAAGCCCTATATGTTCAATCGAAAGCACTTTCACTGTTCATGTTTGTACTTCACAAGGGAATGCTAATAACACATTTATGCAGCAATACAATATACTTCATTTCCTTGGATGTAGTAGCTGTCATGGTGTCAATCATCCACTTATCATTTGGCTTTAGTTTTAAGAGGATACAATGTTACATTTCTCCCAAATGGTGGGAGTAAAGAGACCTACTTTGACGAGGTGCAGCAGCTCATACAGATCCTCCACCTCGTCCCCCTCCGTCACACTGTAGTTTCTGCTGGTGTTCAGGCTGGAGCCCTGGATAGTGCGTCTATACAGGGGCAGATCCATGACTTCCGCATACAGTTCTATGGCGTGGTGGCCCACTGTCTGGTACATGTAGCTGTCCAACTCATCTGCGGCAATGAGGAAAATATATTCAGTCCAGAGTAAAAGGCAGTATGTGATGTTGCAATCATTTAGAATAGTGGCTCGATCAAATTCTTCTTAATAAATAAACTGGAGGACGGTGATATTGACAGTACAATATGCTGATGGGAAGGGTGTACATATTTTAAATCTATTTAGAGTAGACTCATGAGCTGTTAAAACTAAACTAAAATACTGAATGGTTACATTAAAATCCCAAAATAAAAAAATAAATGTTACTTTATCCTTACACAGTACTCATAGCATATTCATAACACATGTGTTGGCCTGCTAAGGCATGGTACAAACCCTTCTACCTACAGCACACAGAGTCGTGCGGCTGGTTGTCCCAAATAGCCCTCTACCTCACCTGTGAGGGCAGGACGCAGGTTGGCCAGAGCTACGATCCGGTGCCCAGCAGCAACACACTGCATCATGTTGTAGCAGCTGTCTTTGCCTCCACTGGAACCCAGCATGAGAAACAGGCAGTGAAGTAAAGCTGTGTTAAGAGTCGTTAAGATGCAGACCGATGCCTTATCAGGGGGATACGGCGCAGTGTGCTGGGGATGTGATTGGGCAGCATAGATATTCAGTGATGAACCACCTGTTTATTGCCACACTTACTGAGAAGGCTCTATTCCTTACAGTGATGACAGTTAGCAACTGATATGTGCTACTTTTGTAACGTTAGGGGTTGTCAACACCCCTTTGGTGAGATGTTCTTGCATGACTTTGAACACAGTTAAAGGCAAAATACAAACTTAGACCGCATAGGGACAAGCAACCGTTTGTTGACAGCAATACATTTGAGATGTAGCATTTGCCATGGTAGCAAAAACAAGTGACAGAAATGTGAGAAAGTTAAAGCAAAGAGAGACGATTACCTTATTAACGCGACTACTTTCATATTCAACATTTTTGCTCAAGCGATTAATGACATAAAAAGAATCGGCTGTAATTGTACTAAGCGTGATAACTACGCTTAGCAACCGATGGATATACACAACATGTGAGAGCTTGACTTCCGGGTTATTGAAGGACCCTTTTCGATTCCAAGCTGCCCTATATATGCCTGATAGAAAATCGGTCCTTGACAATTCCTCTCTATCTATCCAATTGAATCGACATATCATATAAAATATACCATAATATATATAATATATTATGTAATATATAATCTAGTATATATATATCACACTCACAAAAATGTTTTAACCGTTTTACGGACCTCGTAAACTTATAAATAAAATAAATACAGATGTTACTTTACTATAATATAATACAAGCGGATATAGAGAGTAACTCTAATACTTAGACTGGCACACATCCTTTGCCTCGTGTGTCTCAGGAGAGGACCAAACGTCCATGAGATCGTATTCACACACACGTTGCGCTTTTCCTCTGAGGGAGCCCTATTTTGCTCAGAGGAAAGCCTTTGATGCTCTTTTAGCTCTCTGTTGTTGTGCCAGAGCAGAATAATTGCACTGCTTTTGTGTGCTTCCCTCACCTTCTGCCCTTAAGCAGGCTGAAGGCAACTGATTTTGTTTGAATGTACAAAATTGAGAGAGATGTCTCTTCCTCCCATTGCTTTTAACTAGGTTTCCTTTTTTGTTTTTGTTTGTTTTATTCATCCTGAATATAATGGCAACATCTACAACCTCCAGATGCAAAGCATTTGTTTTGTGGTGCAGGCAGCACATAGTGAGAAGAGGCATCACTTTTCTGATGATGGGAATTTTCTTGATAAAGTGAAAATCTTTGATATGATTCTTTTTGTATTCAAAAAGTACCAAAAAAGGAAATAACGGTTTGTTTTCAATTAAGTATGTTTTCCCTTGTTTGATTGTGTCCTTGTTTCTACAACACATTTACAGTAGCACGCAATTATCTTTTTTTAACATAGACCATATTGTTTTTAATAATGAATCTATCTAAAATACAAGTATATACTTCCAAGCAGTCTGAGGTATTTAATTGAGAATCCTTATTGAGCAGGTAATATTCATACTCCGTCCCTGGGTAGGTGTACAAATACATGCACCATGACAACAAACTACTACAAATACATTTATTTCAGTATTGGACATTGTATTTAAAAGGATGGGCGATGTAGTTTTCCAAAAAGTGTCTTGAAATAAAGAAGGACACCTGGGTCTGGTTGGTCTCAGTAATGCAGCACTCACAATTTTGTGGATTATACTATAGTACAGCCTGACTGGCTCTGGTCATTTCCATAAAAGCCCAGGCCCACAGGACATGACTCATGCAAATGTTGTCACTTATCAGTTTTAATTCATGTACTTTATTATCCAGACAAATAAAGAGGTGCGCTCTTCTGGTTTTATTTGTGGCAGCTTTTTCGCTGACGTCAAAAAGCGCTTTACGTCCGTGTTGTTGGTGCGTTGGGGATGAGAAGTGTTGATCGATGGCCCAACTGAGGCACAGCCAATGGACATGAATATGAGGCGCATAAATATGAAAGCAGGGCCGCAGGAATCAAATGACACCCTTGGCCTTTCTTTAGAGGAGCGTGTGCATATGACAGATGATTTACACGGACAAGCAAACTAATTTTTGTCACGCAAGGACACAGCAACTTTAGGTGTAATGAGAAACAAAGGCCTCAAATCACAAGACAATAAATTGAGTGTCACAACAGGCCAGCCAAGGTTCCTCGCTGAATGGCCAGAATACACACACACACACACACAGACTTCTGGTCTCTTCAGGTACATACCAAAGCAAGTAAATGGGTTGTATAGTTAGTTGTAAGTTTTTGACAAAATAGTCAAATCTAAACATGCATTTTCATGGGAACATTAAAAGTATGTACATATCAGATGGAATGAAGTGATACAGATTACATTGTGGACTCTCTCTATTGATTCTGTTGTAGACCTATTTTGTCCAACGGCAAAGGAGTGTGAGCAGGAAACTTTAATCCCATATTCTCTGATGTCAACCAGCACCTTCTGCTATAACTCAAGCCAATGTACAATTCTTATTCTGACTTTATCCAAATTGGATTTGACTTTCTTCTATTCTAATTTACTCCATTTCGGTTGCCACATAAACATAAAGCAAAGGACAGAAGCCGTTTGCCTGTAAAGTTTTCCTGTACTGTACACTGTGAATCACCATCTATCTGTATGAGGTTTATGTAAGAAATGTTAACCTCTTGTGCTACAGTGTGCAAAACAGAAAAGTCAGCATGCTAATTTTAGATGAAGTTCAATGAGGGCTGATGACAGCCAAATGTTATCTTAAGATAGTGATAAATTTGCACTCAAGTGAGCAGCGGTTGAAAGCAGTCCTGAGTATTCTTAACTCTACTCCACTCTGGTGTTGCCTCCATCAGGGGCTCATTTTCCAAACAACTATCAACATAATGATGCCTCTTTAGGGCCTAACCACATCCAAATCAGTTAGTAAACAACCCAAACGGGGATCTGTACACATTTTTACAGACAATTAACTGTTATCACGAGGGGCCCAAATGGATTAGTAGGCTCATTAATGTCTGAAGCTAATCGGTCCTTGATTGGAAATGTGCGAGAATGTGAAATAAAGTCCTGATTTGATCCAAATTGTGTTTGATCACGGCCTCGTCCTTAACAGACCCAGTCTGCAAACAGTAATTGTTTTTTTTCCCTCTCTAAATCCCCCAATTTGAATCTGGCTCTTGGCCCCCGAACACAGTAAAACTTCTAAAGCTACATAAAGCATTATAATGGATAAAACAATATATTCGCCTCATAAGCAGCTGCACCTTTGTGAAAGCATGAATAATATTGCCTAGAACTATTATTTGGGTGTCAATATAAATAAACTACAACGTTTTGCGATTGCAGGAAGGACAACGAAGTTCTAAATCAATGTTTCAAGCCAACATCTCAGACCAGATGTAAAATAGGAGGCTCTCAAAAATGGGTGGCATGCTAATTGATTGTATTAAATATATACCTGTAACACCAAACACTTCAAACCATGACAGAGACAGAGGACATGCAAAGAGGCTGACATTGAGTAGATATGATGTTTTCCATGTTTATCATCTTAGTTTTGATGCTTATTAGCAGCGTTCATCTGCTGCAGCCGGGATTATCATTAGTCTCACAGGGATTTGGTCACCAACCAAAATATTGGAAAAATTGGAATATTGAATTAATGGTAGCGTTAGATAAAAAGTCTGAGGATCAACAAAGCTAATATAACTCATCAAGAGTGTGACGTTCATTTGTTTGTAACAACATGTATGACCAAATTCGTCAAAGATTTCATGAAAAGCCAGAAATGACAACTTCATTGTTGCCCACGAGAAAAGTATAGTAAGTAAATAATTACAAAAGTCAGTATTCACCCTCTACAAAAATGTTTTTTACTAAATGTCATGATAATACTTATAGATAGATATTTTCATCCCCGTAACAAAATTGCGGACTAATGAACCAACATACAATTTCTTTTTTAGAGATAAATCAAATGTTGTGTTTCAAATCACAATCTATCACACTGCATTGCATGCCAATATAATGCAGTATGATATATACTCTACTATATATACTTAAGTGAGAGTCTCAAAGAATATTCTTCAGCGATCAGGACTTAAAAAATAAAGAAAGCTGTCCAGCATTGCAGGAAAATAAACTTTCCGACGTGCAAACAAGCCAACAATCCTTCAGTACAAATTTAATTTCCTTGATTTTAAATAGTCTTTTGAAATAGTCTTGCTGTGCTTTGAGCATCCCTGAATCAAATTATGGCTTCAGTGGTTGAGCCCTGTGAAGCTCCGTTCAAAAGGATGTGGCCCATTACAGCACACAACCATTCAACTAATTATGAAGCAGCCAAAGCAAACAGCACACACTGCTATCACCTGACCCTCCTGCCCAACCCTGTCCTATAAACAGGATCTTTAGTGTAATGGTTTAAAGAGACACTTTTTACTCAGAAATCTGAACCACTGGGCATTTAACCAATAGCTGCATTAAGCAATTAAATGCCTTACTAACTTATAGCATAAGCAACCTTACATTTAACCATCCGATTGATATACTGTATACAGGAAACATTTTTCTCTCCTCTCCTCATATTCTCTGTGATATATGGTACAAACGATACTTCAGGCTTTGCATTCATCATTGTCCCTATGTTATTAGGACTGATTCGACAAAAGTATTGTAAAGGACAACATGGGTGAAAATACTTTTTAATCTGTAAATTATCTTTTGGCGAGGTGTAATGAAGTCGTCTGCTCTCTGATACACAAACTTGGACAGTTTTCCTCCCAGTCGACAAACACAATCCCAATCCAGGAAATAGCCTATAATCAGAATATTGGAGTTGACATCAGAGGTAGCCACAGAGGCGATTCCCACACACCCCTCCCATAGCTTCAAAGGTCTTCCAGGGCCTGTTACGGGTTTCCCTCGTGATGAAGTGTGACACTCCACAAACACAAAAGCCCCGGCCCTCTCGTGGCTCCGCTTGCTTTTCTTGGATCACTCCATTACGACCAATGCCGAGTCGACTTGGCGGTTGTCAAAACGGGCCCCAAATCTCTGAAGAATGTGTCTTTCTGGTGCTTGTGATGCTCCATGTGTGCATGTGGTAATGTGTTGAGTGTGTGTAGACGGCCCGTCACAGTCACAAGGATGTGACTGCTGGTTTTCCAAAACCCTTTATGTATTTTCTCTGGAGACAAATTATTTAGTAGTTTATTTTTTTTCCTCCTTCCATCTGAGAATCAAGAACCATCGTCATCACGACATTGGTGGCACAGACATATTCTGAATGTTTAATCTTTTTTTTTCCCCCCACATAATGCCTTTGAAATCATTCGCATTTTGAACACAGTGTCTCTGTTTTTCGTTTTCAGCAATAATCACGTCTCTTCTTTCCTTTCATTTTCTATAGATCTCTCCCACTTTTTTTCCCTCTGCCCCCACACACTCTCTTTCATCTATCCACCTACCCTCATTTGTGGACAGTTTTCTTGCAGTAAGACTTCCTCTGTGCTGAATTGCTGGCCACAGTTGAGC